AACACTTCTTGGTGAAGCAATGTTCAAGAGCAGGAAAAACTCAGAATAATCACAGATTCGGCGAGGCTGGACGCAAGGAAATGTTGTTAAAACTTAACAGCAGACACCTTTTGTTTTAAACAGGATCGGCAAATGAAAGAATAGGAATATTTGGGTTCATTACCCACAGAAGATTAATGCATTACAAGCGAGCCTTTTCAGAAAGGTGTGCGAGACTGGGTCTGAGAGCTTCAAAGAGATATAAATTACAAGTTACCTACGCATATGCGCCGACGTCAAGCTATCCTGAGAAAAAGAATCATTTTTTTTAAAAACAGACGCATAAGTACGTGGAAAGAACCATTAACAGTTTATTACCGATGATTTCAACGCCAAATTCCTATTGCAGCGAGAAAATGAATACCGTTTAAGCCGATGTGATTACAGAAAAAAGAACGACAGGGGTGAGGCGGACTAGTGGTGTATGCTGGAAGGAACAAATTTATCATGAACACCATTCTTCAAAAAATTCAAACAACAGATAAACAAAAAGTCCAAAAACGTCAAGAATGAAACTGACTTTATCCTCTATAACATGAAGAACGCAGTTAAGGACGTTGCGGTGTTGAACAGGTTTACTGCAGGGAGCGATCAGAGGCTCTTCAGGTGCAAAATACACCTGGATCCCGCTTCACAACGATGAAAATTGCTGAGGACGAAGCAAGATACTCTATACAGAAACACTAAGGAACCTTACGTTACTCCAACTCAAATTAAGCAGCCGATATGACGCTATCTACGATGTGCAAGAACAATGGACATGAACGTCATGTAACAGGATTTAACGATGGCATTTACAGAAACGGCGGAAAACATCTACGGAACAAAGAACACGAAGCAAACGAATGAACTCATAAAGAAACGAGGACAGCAACAAATCAGAAACCACAGATCGAAGAGTGGAACTTTGCAAAACTTTACGGAAACGGATGAAAGAGGAAATTCGAGCATTCAACTACAGATTGATAAAGGAAACTATTGAAAGCAATCGAAGCACGAAAAAATTTAATCAAAGATTGATGCTCAGGAAACGAGAATTTTAGCTCTCAAAGTAGAAGGAACTGTAATCACTGTCAGACACAAAAATTCTCAAGAGAATTAAAGACTTCTATAAAAACTTGTACAAAAATAAAAACAGCTACATCATATGTGACAGTATGGAGGTTGAAGATTAAAATAAAAGTGACGAAATTTCAGATATCTTGCAAAAAAAGTGAAATGAAATAAAGTCAAGGCGAGGAAGGGCTCCTGCGGAAGACAGCATTAGAGCAATACTCGTTGAATTAGGAGGTTAAATGCTGACAGACATATTGGCGCGCTTGCTTTCACGCTGTCTGAAGGAAATGAAAGTTCCAAACGACCGGATTTCCGCGTCGGTAATTCTACTCTATAAAAATGGAGATAGAGAGGAATTGCAGATTTACAGGCCGATCGATCTGTTACCTACCATACCTTCAAAAAGATACTGACGAACAGGTATTAAAAAAATTGGAGGCTGCACAGCCAAAGGAACAAACAAGATTCAGAAGTTGGTTAAGTCATGGATCACTAAGGATCTTCTAAGGAAGGAAAAACGTGTAATTCAGACAAGCAACGAATATCAGCTTCCTCTCTGCCTGGGGTTAGGCGATTTTGAGAAGACACTCTACTCAGTTTGCAACCGTTCCACACTGGATTCGTTGATTAGCTAACGAATCGGGAAAAGATACAAAGCATCGCCATCATTTACAAGAATGCGATTGCCAGTGTAAAGCTTCACCAAGGCACAAGCAAGTTCAAAATCGAAAACAACGTTTGACAGTACTGCAATATCACCCAAGTTATTCACGGCAGCTCTAGAAGAGATTTTGACCAAACTCCGTTTCGAAAACCAGGGACTGAAAATAAATGAATAAACACTTAAGCTACCTGCGGTTTACGGATGATATTCTAATCCTCTGAAGGTCGCCATAAGAACTGCAAAGAAGATTCCAAATACAGAGCAACGCCGGCATTAAAGTAGGACTGAAAACGAACCTGAAGAAAACTCAGATCATGTTTAACAAACACGTGACCCCCGGACCTATTGAAGTCAATGGATCTGGAGGTATAAATCTAGAACAGATGAAAAACTGAGCGTATTTGGGTCAGCTCATTTGTGCAACGGAGAACTGACTGAAATCAACAGAAGCATAAAAATGGCATAGACCACCGTTGGAAGACTGAAAATATCCATAAGCGGGAAACTACTCTTGCGTTTGAAACGGAAGGCTTTGGATCAGCGTGTGCTCCTAGTGCCAACCCATGGGTGCGATACGCGAAACCTAGACTCGAAAGCTGTTTATAAACTGCAGACTATAAAACGGAGCATAAAAAGATGTAGGCTGCGAATAAAAAGCATACACAGAAAAACGAATAAATGGATACGAGCACAAAAAAGTCTGCGGCGTCAGTGGCCGACAGAAGAACGTAAAGTGGTAATGGGCAGGATACACTGCAAGAAGAACCGACCATCGATGGATTTCAAGAGAGCAAACGGCTCATAGGGATACTTTCAGTTCGATGCCAGGATGAGTTATAAAAATTGGTTAATCAAGCTCAATAGAAATCGCAATAAAACAGAAGTTTATGGCAAAGTCATGAAGGCAGTAGTAGATCCAAAACGCTCATAATTCCACCCTAAAAAACACGAACCTGTTAATAAATGTTTTTTTTTCAAACAATTCTAAAACGCTGTTCGTTCTTCGAAACTCAATGCCTCAAAGAAAACTTGCAAAACATTTTATCTAGAAACTCATAACACGTTGAACGAGAATGTTATCCAAGTTGCAGAAGAGCTGATTAGTCGACTAATGCGCGCCAAATAATTGTCAGACATCATTATTTTGAGTACTCGGTCCTCCACCCTGATACCCGAGATGACGATGACAACAACTAATGAACTCCCTGAATCAGACATCCGGCCTGGATGTATAATGTATTAAATTTTAAGACTATAACTGAACTACATACAATTGAAACATCAGTCAAAATCTAATTATAAATGGCTTGTACGATGCTAACTGTTATATGGCCCTGAAACTTGGATGTGCAGAACTAAAGGATGAATGTTACACAAAAAATGGCGAGATACAGATTTTAAAAGGATATTAAAATACTTTCCATAAAAAGGGTAAATCAATAACGTTGCGAACTGCTTTATTTTATGTTGCAGCATATGGAGTGCTAAGCAATTTGTAGGTGCCAGCAAGCCCTGAATTTCTAGATGCATTGCTCACATTTGTACTGACTCGTCAGAT